GATATATCTCGAGATCCTGACCAAATAGAAAGTTACTGTCTTTGAAAAAGTTGTTCAGGAGGTCAAAGCCTATTGCTTGGTGTAGAATAGTTCAGAATTTTCTCACTATGTAGTTCTAGTATACACGTTAAATTCTCTCATATAAAATATCTAGAGAGCATGACAAGATAGAATGTTACTGTCTTGGGCAAAGTTGTTCAGGGGATCAAGGCCTTTTGGCTAGTGGACGGTAGTTCAGAATATTTCACTTCATGGTACTAGTATATACGTGCAATTCTCGCATATGATATATCTCAAGACCTGCTAAAAATGTACTGTAATCGGCAAAGTTGTCCAGGAGATCAAACCCTATCGTTGGTGGAAAGTACATAATTTTCTCACTAGGTGACGTTGAAAGACACGTGAAATCCTTGCATATAAAATATCTCTGAATGAGCCGCATACTAGTGACACGTAAAGGGAAAATTCTGAATTACTGTACACCAACGAAAAGATCCTAACATCCTAAACAACTTTGCCGAAGACAGTAACTTTCTGTCTGGTCAGGATCTAGAGATATTTTATATGCGAGAATTCCTCATGTATACTAGCGTTGCAAAGTGAGAAAACTCTGAACTTATGTCCACCAGCAAAAAGGCCTTGACTTCCTGAACAACTTTGCCGAAGACAGTAACTTTTTATATGATCAGGATTTCGAGATATTTTATATGAGAATTTCACGTATATACTAGCACCATATAGTGAAAAAATTCTGAACTATAGGCTTTGAACTCCTGAACAACTTTGCCGAAGACAGTAACTTTCTATCTGGTCAGGATTTCGAGATATATCACATGCGAGAACTTCACATGTATACTAGCGCTATGTAGTGAGTAAATTTTGAACTACTGTCCACCAGCAAAAAGGTTATGATCTCTAGAACTACTTTGGCAAAGACAGTAACTTTCTATCTGGTCAGGATCTCGAGATATTCCATGTTGTAACCAATTAAGTCAGAACCCTCGTAGTATGGACACCATTTACGCGGTTTCCATTTACATTTTCTCTATTATCCGCATATTTTGGGGGTTAACTGTAATAAATATTTAGCTTGTTTAGTTAAAAGCAAGTTTTTTGAGGAATACTCGTTGATTTCAGATCGATTGGTAGCTCGGCTGCAAAATGGAAATGGAAAACTCACACTGTTGTACAAAGTACAACGCGTGAGTACTCGTGTTACAAAAGTTGGCGCGAGTAACGGAGGAAATATAATATAACATAAGGAAACAACTGATCATACCATAAAAAAAAATCATTCAGAAGTAAATCTTAATACGGAGACCTGACTCTATGCTTGCAGTCCATATTATTTTTTGTATGGGCTGTTCATAAACTACGTAGACGGTTTTTGAGAGATTTCAACCCACCCCCCCTTCCGTAGAAGACAGTCTCAAACACAAAATTTAAAAAATTGTATGGACCGTAGACATCTGCCAAGCGCTCCCACCCCCCTAAAGCGTCTACGTAGTTTATGAACAGCCCCTTAGTTAAATGCGTTTGGGAGATAGGAAAACTAGGAACTAGGAAAACTAGGAAAACTCAGAGTGGACCACTCTACGTATTTTGCCGTTTTTCCCATTTTGAATCGCCTGATAAACAAGAAATATATTTAAAAACAATGAATTCATATAATGTTGATTGATTTACTTACCAATTTAATCAGAAACCTGAGATAATAGCACGATCGACCAACCGGAATTTTTTTTTTGTCGCTCTTTTGATGATTCTCATTTGATAAGTGTTCAAAATAAGTTGGTAACATTTTTTTTACGATCTTTTTTGGACACTTTTTATTCAATACTTTTTAAGTAAAATCTTAAGGTGAAATCTTTATAAACACGTGAAATACATCTTCCAAAGTCAGATAAACTGATTTGATAAAAAAAATCATTGAATTGTATAGTTTAGACCAAATTTAAAACAAGTACACTAACGCCGATTCCTCTTGACAAACGTCGAAACATGAAACTTTTTCGATAACATTTTCTAAAACTGCATAAATTGAGCAATTGTAAGCAATTTGAGGTGAACTAATGATCTTGAGACATAGCAAGTAATTGAAAGAATGTAATTACAACATCAACCCAGATGAATTTGAAAAAACTAGACAGTAAGCGAGGAAAATATATGAAAAGGGTCCAAAATATGTAGGGGTCCAATTCAAGTTGGTTACCCTATAACACTCGAATTGAAGAAGAAAACGTTTTTACGATCAGGCTGATGTGCAATTTTTGACTTTTCCAGATGAACTTTCATAAAATATATTCATTTCATTTCATGGCTCCATCAATGCTGCATCGTAAATATGATGTAAACCGAAGTAAATTGCTCAATTACTCAAAATAAAGATGATTTGTCATCTTGTTATCACTTTGAAAACCATCTAGCACCATTTTATAGTATGGTGCGTGTTGAGTACATCAAGTTCCGTTACGTTTCCTTCGAAAATTGTGAGTTTCAATATGTTTGCCTTAAAAAGGCCAAAATGAACATTTATTGAATATTGGCGTCCTATACAACCAATTCTCCATTACCACCAGCATGATACAACCTTTCCTAAGTAAATTCACTTAATTTTCACTTTCATCTTAGTGGAAATCGCACATATTCACCATTTTTCGAAAAATGCAGCAGAATTACCGAACTTTCAACAGCTGAACTGTTCGGAAAAAATTAATTTCTCTAAATGCTTCCCATAAATGAAGACTTCATCGCAATTGCAAGCCTCAATTATTTAAACAAGCCTGACAGGGGTTTGAAGTTAAAATTTAGTGAAATAAGGATCAAATTTTTACCGAATGCTGTTGAAAGTTTGAAAAAAAATTACCGAAGTCGGTAATAATTTCTTAGCGTGTAGGATTTGATATATATTTTCAAATCAAATATCTTGGTGATTGTTTTTTAAGTGGCAGAATATTAATATGTTTTGATCAGTCCAGATCGAAACAGTGATCTCAATTTTTTTTTCGGAGATCCAGAATTTGATAATTGTATACTTTGACATCCTACAATCTTGAAGAATAAATGTGATGTATTGGATCTTGATCATATTTCTATGTTCGAAATCTGCAAATTTGTTAAAGAATGGGATTTTTTAAACTTGTTTATGAGTTAATTTTTAATTCTGGGTTCTGGTCAATATATAACTCAGTTCCAGAATCCGAAAAAAATTTAGTACCGAAATATTTGTGCTATTTTCTTCTGGGATCTTGCAATTGTTTTTAAATCCAGAATCTGCAATTCAAGTCCGAAACCTTTAAAATTTGTCTTAATTCATGAAATCCAAAATCCTGGAGAAGAAATCATTAGTTCCAAAGTTTTGAGAACGGTTTAAATATAAAATCTTGAAGAATTCTCCAAGTTCTAGAATTTTGAAAATGCTTCGAAGTAAAGAGTCTGGTAATTTTCTATCCTTAAGATCATGACAGTTTTCTGTTGTCACGATATCTTGATTTCTTATATGTCCATAATTGATAGGAGCATGATTTCGAAAATTCAGTTTAATTCAAAATTACATTTCATCATACAGGGAAAACTATAATTGACAACTGGGAGTTCAAATTCATTAACTAAGGTGTCTTTTATGCTAATTTTAAATATAGTTATTGAACTAAGCTTAAGTGAACTCTTGGTATAATCATTAAAAATTCGCAGAAATGAATTCGAATGAATTCCATGGATTTTTAAGAGTGGTTTGCAGACAATTTCTAATCTGTTATAAAGAAATAAAGGAAATCCCACAGATAATCATTTTTTACTTTTTGAGGAATTCTGTGAAGGAGAATGATTCTTAAAGAAATCCTGTTAATAGTTCTGAGTCTATTTTCAAGGTAGTTAAAAAACAGACACACAGATATAACGCATTGAATATTTTTTACTCCTAAACATCTACGCTAAAACACTACCGCCATCTATTGAGGACCCTGTCATGGGCTCAGCAGTTGACGATAGTGTGTAAACATAAATTATTATTATGAACCTAAAAATCGATTAGCTTTAGAATTGGCAGAGTTATAAGTGGTCAAAACCTGACCACGTTTCGTAACGCGGTCGACTCTGGTTTTTTTTTTTAATTACACCCCCAATATGCTGCCGAAAGACGTAACACAGCAAAAAATAAAATTTAATATTGCATTCAAGAGGATGCACTTCAATTATGTCGAAAATCTCATGTAATTTTTACGGCCACAAAAATAAACTAATGCAGTAAAAGCAGCGTAATGTCAGTTCATGCATTATATTAATGATAATTTTATCCTTTTTGGCAAGTAATATTACACCATATTTTCGACACGATTGAAGTGCATACACTTTGATGTGATATTAAAATTATTTTTTTGTTATGAATCCAATGTAAAACCTTATGCAAGGTGACATTGGGCCAACACATAAATTTGGTTAAAATATCTAAAAAATATGCAAATGTAACGAAGTTATTAGAATACACTTGGATATGATCACAATGTACTTCACATATATGACTGAAGATCGCATCAAACCCTCGTTTATCCACATAAAAGTGTGTTCATACTTTTGTTTGCCAATGGACAATTTTAAAAACCTGTTTTTACTACTATTTGTGACACTTAACTTTACAGTCAATAATCAGAGTGCGGTACAGTTTAGTAAAGGGCATTTAAATGTTTTTCGGAAAAGAATGCCCACCATGCTACATTCAACCACCCACTTTCTATCTTCGCCGACCGAAAGAGATGCTGAAATTTGTTCCGATAAAGTCAATTTATTCGATTTCAAATTTCACCATCATCTCCAAGCCACGAACCAAACGAAAGCTGACCAAGATAATTTTGTAAAATTAAATCCCTTACAAAAGAAGAAAGAAAATTTACCAAAATGCGATCATGAATTGTCAAATAAAAAAAAAACAAAACAAAACAAACGCGTAAAGGAACCGCTCTCTCTAGTTTTTCCGTTTCTGTTGCCTATCTCTCTAATTGCAGGTGATTGCCGTGATATCTATTCTCTTCATAGTATTATCTACGATAGCTTTGACACTCAATACATTACCGTCCCTGCAATCCGAACATAACGGCACCTCCCAGGACAATCCCGAGCTAGCGATGGTTGAGGCGGTGTGCATCACCTGGTTCACGCTCGAATACGTCCTGCGGTTTAGCGCATCGCCGGACAAGTGGAAATTTTTCAAAGGCGGCCTCAATATAATCGATCTGTTTGCCATTCTGCCCTATTTTGTGTCCTTGTTCCTGTTGGAGACCAACAAGAACGCCACGGACCAGTTCCAGGATGTGCGCCGGGTGGTGCAAGTCTTTCGCATCATGCGCATCCTGCGAATCCTCAAGCTGGCCCGACATTCAACGGGCCTGCAGTCGCTTGGCTTCACGCTGAGAAATTCCTACAAGGAGCTGGGTCTGCTAATGTTGTTCCTGGCAATGGGCGTACTCATATTTTCGTCCCTGGCATATTTTGCTGAAAAAGACGAGCCTCAGACCAAGTTTGTATCTATACCCGAAACATTTTGGTGGGCGGGAATCACCATGACCACGGTTGGCTACGGGGACATCTACCCCACTACTCCGCTTGGAAAAGTGATTGGTACCGTGTGTTGCATATGCGGCGTACTGGTAATCGCATTGCCCATTCCTATCATCGTTAACAATTTCGCTGAGTTTTACAAGAATCAAATGCGGCGGGAGAAGGCCCTGAAGCGGCGCGAGGCACTCGATCGTGCCAAGCGCGAGGGAAGCATCGTCAGCTTTCACCATATCAATCTTCGCGATGCCTTCGCCAAGAGTATGGACCTGATAGACGTCATCGTCGATACTGGTGAGTAACATTTACTTTTGCTTAAATTCGAAATTAATATAGTTGTACGTTTTAAATAACTTCACTTTTTTGATTGTATCAACTGTGGGAGAGTTATCACGCGTACTCTCTTCTCATTCTAACAACAGCTTGTCTAAATTTCAACAGTTCTTTTGTTTCAGTTGCATGACTTAGTTGCTCCATTTTGAGTTCACATTTTACTGTCCTAGCGTATGATATAACCAATTAAATTACACTAAATCCGGCTTCTAAACCATCACAACAATTATGTTACTCTTCGACTTGCACATGTACATTGAGAACATCAGCACCAAAATCAGGGACATAGATATATCATCACCACCACTGTCCTTCCGTCAAGAAATTCTTTGTTGGATTTTCCAGTTTAGTTTCTGTTGCTGGTGTTGTTTTCTTACAGACAAAAATACAAAATTTCTGTTGTGAAATATTATATTTTGTTGTCGTTTTGTTCGCTTTTATGTTGAATGTTCTAAAAATTATTCTATTTATTAACAAATCTATCTCAGCATAATAATGAACAAATAATGCAGTAAACTATTGTGTTCATCAAATAAATAATGCAGCGATATGATGATGTAGGATATAAGATCAACGATATTTTAGCATTAATCATTTTCAAAGTTTATTTCAATTAATCGAAAACATGATTCAGACTATAATGCATAGGAAATATTGATGATAAAATCAATATTTAATTTAAATCGGTCAAATATGTTTCATGTATTAAACTTAATATAAGTTGAATAGCAAAACCAAACTTTAAAAATGTAATCAAATATTCATAAGTCAATGCTGAATCCTAAATTATTATTTCAATATTTTAAATAAATGATTTATTTTCCCCTCACATTGTAATGATCACCAATTGACAGTGCCTTACCGTTTTTTGGCAACACATGATTATCGTCTTCTTTGCTTCAATGCTAAATTCTAATTGTGGTCATTCTTTAAATATCAGAGAGTGCTGGTAATGCATAAAAAATATCCAGAAAGCACTGGTTGGTGCAAAATTGTGGAAAGTAATTGATTGGAAATTAGAAAGTAATAGCCAATAAATTTGTGTTGTGACCAAAAAAATTAAGGCTCTGTAGTATTAATAATAGTATTATTAATAGTATAAGAGAAATGCAGGAAAACGAATTAAAAGTAAAAAATTATGATGAGTTTACGTATAATCTGTAAACAAGTAGTCAAGAGGCCAATTTCACCGGGAGCCCAAACTTCTGATCTAAATTCAATATTGAATACAATAGACAAGCACCACCAATAGCTATAGAATAGGTGAGGCAGATGTATCTCAGTCAGAGGACAGTATAGTTAAAAAATGACTCACTAGGTGGCGCCAGAGTGCAGTGATCATACATAAACCTCATTTACTTGACAAATGTGTTCATACCATCATTTTTATTTGATCAAGACAGTGCTGACAGTGAATAGTATAGTTTGGATTTAATACTCACTTCGGTGCACTAGAGTGCGCATAAAATTTTCTTCTTGTGACAAGTTATGCCCTTCTTCCTGGCTGTTCAAGCTTGTTATGCTAGAGTTTTGCTTGCTCTCAAATGAAGCATATTTATCAAACGACAACTCTCATAATAATGTTGAAACTATTATGTCAGTCCTTTAAATAGAAACAAAAAATTGTTCTTTTGGGCACAAAATGGCCTTGAAATAACATGAACGGCCTGAAAACGCCAAAATAGTTCTTAAATTAAATGATCGATCAACCCTAACAAATAATTCATAAATTACATTGAAAACCTTAAATTATTTAGAAACGGCAAAATATAAAAAAAAAATACTATTCCTTTACAGCATAAATAAGTATAAGAAAATTTAAATTATCTTATTAATTTTGAGCAGTTCCTCGTCCAATCCGAATCGATCAGCACGACCTTCTTAGCCGGTGCCGGTGGTGTAGTGGTAAGCGTGATTGCTTTCTCACCCCAATGGGTCTGGGTTCAATCCCAGCCGAGGTCAGTGGGATTATTTTGAGGCATAAAAATCTCTGGTCACGCCTTCCTTCGGAAGGGAAGTAAAGTCGTTGGTCCCGACCAATGTGTGTTTAAATGGGTGCGATATCATACGCAGGTGTGGAAGCTGCCTTCCTGCACATTCAATTCCCGTCAATGGATGGCAATCGATGTCGATAGATGATTGGCAAAAGATTGCGGAACAGAGACCGACTTTAAATAAAGGATTAATACAGCACGAACTTCTCTGGTTTGTTAGAGGCAATGATTCACATTGGTGATCAAATTCGGCCATTTCAAATCCTGCAAAAAAAGAACAAAGTAGGGTAATTGAGCCGTTTTTGGTACTAGTTGAACCAAAGATTTTGTTTGCAGCTCGTTATGACATAAATTTGGCACATAATGAGACAATATACCCAATTTTTGAAAGTACTAAGCTTCGTTGACAATAATAAATTGCGAAACCTGCTAAATTCTTATTAAAAATAGCTTTAAAAATTATATTAAAACGGCTTGTTTTGAGCCGTTATTGGCACCAGGTGTTCCTTTGTTCGCAGTGTGCCAATTTTTGACCTTGGTGGGTATTTCAAATCAAATTTTTTTTTTGCCGATAGTTGGCTGATATTTTGCCGATAGTTGGAAAACAATAAATGAATTTGTAACTGTGTTGATAATTCCACATATGAAAATATCGAAACTCTGAAACTTAGTACATAATTACCAATCAATACAAACTCTGTGAAAATGATAAAGAACCACATGTTAACCCTTATGTGCAAGTCCTGGCTCTTTTGAGATGAGCAGACATCGAGTCTTATGTAGTTGGATCCTTAATTACTTTTGGAAAATATTAGAGAAAGCAATTCAAATTTGTCGTTGATTCATTTGTTCCACAAACGATGATGATTCAGTTGTATGCTATTGATGTCCTGGATCTCACCGAATGGACACAACGACCGGTGGTGATGAACCAAGGTTGGATTGCCACAGCAGCATCTGAGGGAGGTATTGTCTGTTAAGACAAAAAACGCAATGCTCCTCCAGTAAAATGCTTCGCATATATTAGTTTTTCGCTGTGCGCAGTAATCCTCCAGGAAGCTGATTTGGATTTCAGGTTATCGATGAAATTTTGTCGTAGATGATCTTATCGGAAACAATATATTCTAAATAAATACCTGCAATGAGACGAGTTGTGTGTGTGTGTGTGTGTCATCCTCTATCCCTCACCCAGCCGGGGGCGTTGGACAAGTAGAACTGCGAATAATTTGATCAAATCTCATGCTCCGTAATGGTGCCCTTTATGTTGTGAAGACTAGTACTTCAAAAAGTGTAACTTTTGAGGCAAGACAGGGTGTCCTCAACAAGTTAAGGGAACAGGATGCACTAAATGTCCACAACAGGTACGGCAAAACATCACATAGACGCCCTTATTCACACTATTTAACTACTCAGGGGGTAGAAGGTCAAGAAGAGCCACCGCCGCCAACTAAAGCTTGAACCGGGTACCTGGGACTCCCACGATATACCCGCGGCAATGGTCAGCAGACGATGCCCTGTGCGTATTTAGTATGTAATATGTTTTATTTGGATACACAAAATGTTTGAAGCCATGCGTCATCTAAACCATAATTTGCATCACCACAAATACACTTGTCATACCTGCAATGAGACGATTTACATCTAAAAGTGAACCAAGAAGTAAACTGGGTAAAGGGGGCCACCCATAGCTCAGTCCGTAAAGGCGCAGCTACAAAGCAAGACCATGCTGGAGGTGGCTGGGTTCAATTCCCGGTCCAAGAATTTTCATCGTTGGAAAATTTCTTGACTTCCCTGGGCATAAAAGTATGATTGGACTTGCCACACAATTATACCAATGCAAAAATGATACAGACATCAAAAGCTGTCAAACTGTGGAAGTGCATCTAAGTTGAGAGCACGCAATAAGCTAATATGCGATATGCAATAAGCTTGAAATGCGAAGAAGAACAGAAGTAAACTGCTGGTCTGAGTTCCTCTAGTATATTCAGTTTGAGGATGTTCCTGAACATACAGTCAAACGGCACGTAATGTTGTGAACAACTTCAATGACAGTAGTCCAACAGTGCTCCCATTTTATTTACAACAATCCAATAACTACGAGATGTGCCGATGGATACCTAAGCTGTGCCGAATCTAATTTCGACACAATGTGCTGAGTGACTTACCCCTTGAGTTAGTCCCCAATTGGGTTCTTTAATTTTGAAAAATATATCCGTTTTTATATATCATCTGAAAGAGCTTCGTTTTCTGAGCACAGTGATATTTTTTTCGAACCCACACACTTTCATCTCGATTTTTATATCAAGATTTAAAGCAAAATAATAACTTCACTGATTGACACTAAACTGGCAAAATGACAGCTCGCTCCCATACAAAGTGACACCGAGGGGCGCGAATAAGGTGATTTTTGCAAATGTAATCGTACTTATTTAAAATAGTTCCAGTGTACCAAAATTTATGATATTTTGGGTTTGGGTTCCATTTTTAATGCAGATTACGAATATGCATTTACCTCAATACCCTTAAAGAACCCAATTAGCGCTGATCCAATATGGTACGTGTATCCGTTAACACTCCGAACACGATGCCACGATGCCACCTATTGGCGCCACTTGAAACTACAGACTGTAAAGATTTATGCAGTATCAATAGAATTAAAATCTATCAATTAATTGCTGAGTAATGATTTTTCAAACATTGCCAATTTGCCGTTACACATTTTACCGGAGGCATCGTATTTGGAGTGTTAATGCCGGTTCACGTAGTACGGTCCCTATTAACCGAACTATAGAAATCTTGACTGTACTTGGCAGCGTATTTAGTTGCACTGTTGCTAGTAGTTACATATCAAATGATAAGATATTGCATAGTTGGATGTGTTTCAAATTGTCGTTCCAATGCTTCTTCATCAGTAGAAGAATAGAAGCCATTTGGTTTGAATTTCGTATGCATCGAAATCTACTTAAG